AAATCCTCGCCTGAGAATCCAAGACCAGCGGCATTACAAAGCCTAACTACGTTAACATAATAATGTATCATAACACGTTCGGGGAAGAAAAAATGCATTAATTCGTTGTAAAGTAACATAATGATTAAAGGTCGGTAAGAGAGATGGGTTCAGTTAATTACAGATTGACGGCTCTTTGATTGCCTCTCACGCTGCACGAAATAGGCTTCCGAATTGAACTGTTTAATGCTTCTGCATACAACATTACGTAAAAAAAACTTACTTTTAGATGCGCCTAAATGAAGAGGAAAGATTTGTATTTTTATGTTTATGTGTGTATTGAAATCATACTAATATTATAAATGCAAAAGTTAAGATGAATGGATGTTTGTTAGAGTTTGTAGCCTAAACGGCTTAACGAATCTCGATAAAATTTGGCCTAGGCGTAGAAGACGGTCTAGAACACATAGGCTACCTTTTTTTTAACGACGCGGACGAAGTCGAGAGCTAATAAAGACCAAATTGCTGAAGGTCTTTTAACGGCTAACCAGAAAATATAACACATCACAATAATATAATTTTTAATATACAGTAAATGATTCAATTTCTATTGAAAAATTGTACAAAATGAAGCGTGTGGTAGCGCTGTCAGTTGTGGAATAAGGCACTAACAGACAAAACGCAACATTAAAATTAGCGTTATTAATAAAACCCGTTTAATTAACAATGGATGCAGGAAGGTGAACAGGAAGAGTTAACCGTTAGTACAAACCGAGCGAAACCAAGTACCAGGAATCTATGCATTGGAGTTTCTAACGGCCATTGTAGCGCACGCAATTCATATTGAAGCAATTGCTTTGCATTACACGAAATGTACCGCAGTTGGCCCATATATGGAAGATATTTGAATACAGTGAAAATTGTATTCGAATACCTACAGTCGTATTCAATGTTAGCAATTAATTCTGTAGCTATGATCTGTAGTTTATTGAAATTGTTGAACTAGAAATCTATTTTAAGGTCTGTTTCAAGTTATTAGACGTAATTTATCTATACTTCTATACTATTATAATAAAGCGTAAACACACACTTCTCTGTTGCCTTCTCTGTTGCAAAAATATGCTGTAATTGCTGACATCTTATGTCAGCAATTACAGCATATTTTTGAATATTTCTTTTTTAAATATAAAGCCCTACACTTACGTCATGCTTTAGGCTATATGTTTTCACGCCATTAAACTTAGGGAGTAAATATTTTGGATGAAAACCCTAATGTGGGAAAGAGACCATAAGTTGCTGCCAACATCAAGGAAGCAAGGTTGCCATGGTGTGTCATTTTGACATTTGCTATTGATATTTTGACAAATGTGAACGATAAAATAATGTTTTCATAATTTCATGCGGATGAAGCCGCACGTGAACAGCTAGTCTTAATATAAAGTCAGATTGGTACGCACAGATTATATTAAAATTAAGATGCGTTAACGAATCATCACGTCACGTTACGGAATTGTCGATAATGCGTTACAAAAAAGTTAAAACATTAACGACGTAACATAACATGCTATGATCACGTTACAAATGCAACAAACAAGTGTAGACGTCTAACACCTTAATCTATTTTAGATTGATGATGTATTTTAGATAATATAATACTGGCAGGTCCCGTGCGGCTTCATCCACATGAAATTATAAAAACTTTATTTTATTATTCACATTTGTCAAATTCTCAATTATAAACATCAAAATTATCGTTACCATAATAAGTTTGCTTCCTTAATGCTGGCAGCTTGTAGTTTATGGTAACTTTCCCGCATAATTTTTTTTCCAATTTATTTATCCCCAGGTTTAATATCGTGAAAGTACATAGCCTAAAGCGTAACGTAAGTGTAGTCTATTAAAGAAATAATTATTCAAAAATATGTTGTGATTGCTGACATCCTACGCCACAGAGATCTGTGTCTTTACGCTTTATTATATTAGTATACATTGACATCGTTGAAAGTTTCAAAAGGCTGTGTTTATTAGCGTGTATATTACTCTAACACCTAGACACAGACAAGCGCCATTTGAACAGAATTTGTACATTTTAAATGTCGTTTTAGTATTTGACCATGAGTCATTTACATAAAAAATAGAGATTTACGAATTGTTTTAATCGTGTTTAATATACTACGCAAAATACGGTACTAGAGAAGACAATGGGTCGTTAACAAAAACGGATCTAACCAGCCCGGAGGAAACTGCAGGGAAATCATTAATTATATCACGTTTACAAAAGCAATTGTTCATTAAAATCACAATAGCTAACCGACATTAATCGATTAAAAACTATATAATATAACAAACATCAATTGTATTATTGTTTAAACAAGTTAATAAACTTTTTTTGTATAAGATTACGAACTATCAAGCTACTAATTAAATTCTCTGAAATAGCGTAGCGACCCATAGATAAAAAAAAAACAAAACACGTCGAATAAAAATAGAAATGAAATTCCAATTTCAAATTCTGTTTCAAAATATGTTTGTTTTTTATTTTTCTTTTTTTTTTGCAACAGTTTGCAACAAAAGCTTGATTAAAAAAAAATACATTGACGTCATTCATTGGTACCATTCAAATGCATTTAAACGTGTACAATAACACTAAACAGCTTCACCAAACAACACAAACTCAGTGTTTACACTGAACTTGTTAACACAAATATGCAATTAAAATGGAAAGTCGTAAAGCAAACGGCGCAAAGAATGTAAAATGGCTTGAAACACAGGAATAGTTCCACTAACGCATACAAATATCGTCTTTACTGCTTTGATTTTAAAATCTAAAATAGCATACAACTGCAAATGTAACATCATGCACTAAAGTGTTAAAACATTCAAGAGTTGAACAATCAATTGCAAAATAGAATTAGGCAAAACTAGCGAACATAAGTAAATGCTTATGACTTCATACATGAAAACTAGGTAAATATTGCATGGGGTCACGCTGGACCACACAGAAAATTCAAAGAACTTATTACTATGACTAGCTGTTGCCCGCGACTTCTTCCACACAATATTAAGATAAAAAATTGGCTATAATATGCCCGTCTATGCTACTTTTCACCGAAAATCGTTCGAAATCGGCACAGACGTTTCGGAGATTAACAGGAACAAACGCGGCTTGCGGACAGACAGACAGACAGACAAAAGAAAATGAATGCGATTTTCGTTACCAGCAACGCAAACACACCATCTGGATTTTTTTCTTTTCATATTACAATTTTTTTGATATGGAGTAACAATAACGCATTTTTACCTTTTAAACAGTTGTGAAGTAAAAAGGAACTTATATACAATGTGATAAAAACCATAATCATTTGTACAAATTTCAAGGTTCTTTATTTAGTAGGTTTGTAGTAAATGTGACATTCTCAAATGTGTAATTTATTTGAATTGAATTTAAGAGCGTGCGCACACCCGAAACTAAACTATCGAACAACTATTTAGTCTCGCAATGATTCCTATGAGCTTATGAAGGTGCGGACACTCAGTTTTTAGTTGTGCAACTAAACAGTTGAATTTACTGCGAAACAATCGACAATCGCACAGTTGTGCGATAGTTTAGTCACAGGTGTCCCGCTCTAAAAGATTAAATTAATTTATGTTCGATTTGTGTCAATAAGAATGAAATAAAACTACAAGACAAGTTAAAATCATTTATAACCACAATTTACATGTTTTACTTTTATTTCTCATAGAATAGCAATAATTTCTTCTTCTAAAATAAATAAAGACGTGGGAACGTGGGACGTGGATTTTATAATAATAAAATGAGTGACCATGTGGAGCTGTTCACAAAGGATTGGTCCTGCGCAAATCACAAACTTACAAAGCCAGTCAAATAGAGTAATTGTTATTCCATTAGCGTTTGTGTTCACACTGCGCGAAAGTGCATCTCATACATGACTTGTGAATCCTTTTCTAAACAACATTATTGCAATACATCTTATCTTCATACAAATAAAGACTATTTTACCTTTTTTTCTTTCTCAACAATTCCTTTAACAACCCGGAAGGACTTTCGCTGACTCAACACTCGTGTTTGTTTTTGCTTGAACAAGCACTGCTTTATGTTATTTGAAACAAATTTAAGCATGCAAAAAACTGCATGACTAAAAACGTTTTAGTTTAAACTCAATTTTTTAATTCGTATATTTTATTAAAATTAATGCAATGAAAATAAATAATTTAACCTACGAAGTCTTACTTTCTTTTTAATAAGACGTCTTTCAAAATCAGATTCTAATTATTTTATCAGATCAATTTAAATAAATAACATCGATTAAACCGAGTACTCGTTTAAAAATCAATCAGAAGCCATAGATAAAAAAAACAATTAGCCGTTAACATTATTGTTGCCGACTGTACCACTTCACATAAAATCGACAACGCAAGTTCCCACTATTGTAATCGGTAGAAATAAACCCTGATGTGTCAGTCAAAGTTTTTATTCGATTCAATCACCTTCTGACCCGAATCGATTTAATTAAGGAATCGCTATCGATACGATGATTCGAATCAATTGGAAACGATACTCGTGAAAAATGGATCAGTGAAAGTTTGTGAGATCACGATCAAGGATGATTCGAGTGAAAATTACAAATTACTTTAACGGTTTCTAGGTCCAGTAATGACTATTATAAGGAGATATACTTATAATATTATACTGTAAAATTCCGCGCTCTTTTCTGTAGTCGCAGTTTCCGAATTAACTTTTACATAACATAAAGTAATACGAGAATAAACCAAGCAAAGACTACTTAGTAAACTTCACCTACAGTTTTTAAAGACCCTTTTAACTGCTAGCAATCTACTTTTTTTTACAACCAGTCATTTTAAAACATTTTTTTCACCCTATTTCATTGCAACACTACCGTATAATGATTGTTATAATCATAATAATTTGTAGACACCGCTATCTGACCACAAGCTACAAGGTAATTCGAAAAGGTTAAACGTTTCATTCTCTGTTACAGATTCGAGACAAGCAGACAAAATGATGAAGAAAATATGATAGAGTAACCATAACAATAGAAAAATGCAACCCTAATACGAAAATAGACGTAAATATGGTATAGTGATAAAACCAAGATGGCGCATAAAGTGAAGAGCAATCATTACGTGGCAACACACAGGTCCGGAATGGACTCGCCCTCTTCCGGAGGGTACCTACACAGGGGATCATCGAGGGATGAAAACGACAGCCACCGAGCACCCTCGGAAAGAACTTTATCTGAATATACGGTGAGTTTTTTTTTCAATAAGTAGAGACGAGGGGATCTTTTAGACCGATTAGTAACTTAATTTGTGCGCATAAGACTGACGGGATAGAAATTTAATTCTGAACTCTTTTTTATATTATATACCAACTAGTTTTTACTCGCGACTTTGTCCGTATTAAATTATAAAGTAGTAAAAAATACAGCCCATGTTACTCAGTGATATTGTAGATTTTTAATAGATAAAGAATATTTGAAATCGGTAAATTACTTTTTGAGTTATTCCAATACATACAAAAATACAAATATTTCCTATTTATAATACATATTAGTATAGATAATAGAATACGAACGTACCTTGTGAGCAAAGTAATAAGCATTTCCTACCAAATTCCTTCATCAAAAAACAAAAAAAAAATACGTTCTATTCTGAATCGTTGTACATTTAAAGTGAAATTTTATCTGAAATATCAAACGAATTTATTATATGTAAATAATGTGGCCTACACTACAGTCAGAACAATGCGTGTAAACAAGATTGGATATGCTCTGATTTCCATTGACTTATACTGACATATGACGTCATAAATCAGCATCTCGCGTTCCTACGAAAATAATTTAGTACCGCCCGCGGTATCCGATTTCGCATTATAGTTGTGGCATATTGACAGAAAAAGAGATTTTATTTGAACACGGTTGATTAAAAAATGGTTAAAACTGTATATATTTATGATTTAAGTGTTTCCTTCTAAGAAAAGCTGTGATAATATAAATAATAACAAGAAAACTTTTCTTTTACTCTTTTCTTTCCAAAGTATTTATTTAATGTATCATAAGTCTTCTTTTTATTCACAATTTGTTGTTCCCTTTTTAATAATAATCAACCTCCAAGGTCGTTTCATCATAAATCAACGTACGAAATATACGCAATTTGATTTATTTCTGACACACCAACATGAGTTTCTAAACTCATAGTTCATTTGTAGAAAATGTAACATTCCATGATATTGATTGACGCTTGACTGTTATAGGGGAGTCAATTTAAAAGCGCATAGCGGAAAAGCGTTTAATTTTTTTTCATTAAAATTGTACTATTTTTTAAATACAGCCAAAAGTGGTAGAGATTCAGCAATTACCAAGAAATATAATTAAAAGTGTGAAATATGTCTTGAAAAGTAAATCTTCCTTGTTTTTTTCTTTTGTATTTCGTCACACGCTAGATCCTAGTCTTGGAGTCTATAGTTATCTATGTATTTTTTCTTTAGTGAGAATTTAATGAGCACTTATTGCTCCTTAAATGTTCTCCAACATTTGGTTAGCCATTCGATATTACACTTTACCTTAGGCACTTAAAAGTATGATATCCGCTGTCTCTTATAACTCGCACCTTCGCATATTTCTCATATCAATGTTAGATAAATCGCATCTAATCTAATTATATTATTCGCATCGAATCATCATTTGGCAATCGAATATGATGCGAATGTTTTCGTTTTATTCGATTACTTCAATCGATAACGTGGTATTGAATTTCTTATTTTGTTCGGATGTAAATGCTTCCAATTAAAGTTGTATTCGACCTTCTGTTATTTTGCGTAATAGTTTCTATTACATTCTTGTTTCAATCTCTGATCGGAATTCTATTTTACTATCTGATTAACATTTATAAACGTTAATTGTCAGAAATAAAAAACATTTATATTATTTTGCTCTCTTTTTTATTATATTCTCTATGTATTTTGCGATATAAGGAATTTTTCTATGTTTCAGACCATAGACGAGAGGACGCGGTCGCCCTCTGGTGGTGGCTCGGGAGAACATCGCAACGGTAGACGACACCAGGCGGGCGGGTCACCGCGCGCTGATTCCGATGTCTACGTCACCAGCGCCGCCTACCGCCCGCCCTCGGAAATTAGGTAACAACGAAATAACTAACCAAGTTATTCGATAAATTCTAAGATAAAATAATAAAACAAACATCGATTTAATTACAAACTAGCTGTACCCCTGCGGCTTCATCCGCATGACACTGTAAAAACTATTTTATTGTTTACATTTATCAAATTATCAATTGCAAATGTCAAAATGACATGACATGATGACAAACCGTGGCAACCTTGCTTCCTTGATGTTGGCAGCAACTTATGGTCTCTTTCCCACATTAAGCTTTTTGTCTAAAATATTTACCCCCTAAGTTGAATAGCGTGAAAATATATAGCCTAAAGCTTTACGTAAGTGTAGGGCTTTTTATTGATAAAAGAATTATTCAAAAATATGCTAAAATTGCTGACATCTTAGGCAACAAAGAAGTGTGTGTTTACGCTTTATTATAATAGTATAGATGAATATAACCGGTCCCTACAATGTTTTATTTATCGATTGCATTACACTTCTTATCTAAACGATACAAGAAAATCGCAGACTCGATGAATGAAATTCTCTCGATTGAAATTCGCAAACATCGATTATCTTAAAATAACCGTAACATCGACATCTGGCTTCTCCAATCGTCGAATTATTTCCTACGTTACATTCTATTCGTTGGCATTCTCTACAATTTATTACATCCGACAAAACAGTATCATAAAATAATTCGCGGAAGTCGTAAATGTTTTTAATTTATACAAAAAGAATTTACAGACATGTTAAAGTAAAACTGCGTTTAAAATGTGCTATCATTCTGTCTACTATAAATCGATTTTCAGACAAATCAATATTTTATCGTGTTTATGCTTCTACAAAAATTCCTTGACATCTTAGAATACAAGCAGTTGATATTTAGAGTAAATATAAATATGAACAACCTAACTCGATATAGCTTATGTCCAATGTCGAATTATTCATCACTAGCTGTTCCTGGCGACTTCCCCGCTTGAAGTTAAAAATCAATAAACAATATAGCCTATGTTACTCACTGATAACGTAGTTTTTTAATAGTAAAGGATATTTGAAATCGGTTTACTGTTTTTGACTTATTTCAATACATACAAATCTTTGCTCTTTATAATATTAGTATAGATATAGATTATTGGAGCGTAAAACGAAATTCCTTATGTTTACAATTTTTTTTACAAGAATTCCATAGTACAATCGACACATAAAGTGGATCACAATACATACGTAAAGTACAGTTAGCGACAATAATCATAAAATCGAATGTGATGCCACGCCGCGCCGCAAGATGTCGCGACACAGTATGCGAGTATTGTCAATGATTGTTCCCACGTACAACTAGAATTATTGTGGAAATGTCACACTTTCTAACCCAAGCACAGAACTTTGGTAATAAAATAGATGCGTAAATATATTTAGCACAAATAAGATTTATTACTTTCATATATGCAATAGTAATTTTATTCTATTAATTCTTTCGTATCAATAATTAGATTCAGAATAGGTTAAGAAATCGTATTCAGATATTGGAATTGTTAACTAGCTACAGTAAAAACTCTTTCAAATCTCAATTGATATCTTATCGATATTGTACTCAAAACCATTCACATCACTATTCCTGTACTGACTTAGCCCTTAATACTTAGTGTTCCTATAGTAAATTCAAGTCTAGGAATTTCAATTCCGATGTGGTTTGGTTGCACTGTGTAGGTCAACCGGTACAACCCCATTGTTCCCGCCCGGGATGCGTCCCGTATTACCAATGGAATCTATTGCAAATAACACACAAGAATGTAGTACTTATTAATGCAATGTTAAATGTCATAGAAAATTTGAATTTAGCAAACCTTTATTAGCATGTAAATTTTATAAACGTGTTTATTGAACTGTCTTAATTGTAAAACCATGTCTAATATAGTCGTTACCATTTGAAATTCAATACTATCTATAATAATATTATAAAGAGGAATGATTTGTATTTTTAAGTATTGAATTCACTCAAAAAATACTGGGCCGATTTGAAAATTGAATTGAAAATTCTTTCGCCATTAGAAAGGTAATTTATCTGTAAGTAAAGTAGTCTATATTTTTTAATTTCACGCGAGCGAAGTCGCGAGCAACAACTAGTAAGTTAATAAATACACGCTGTATTTGTGCAAATTAGTTAACCAGTACATATTTCATCCAAAAAACCACAATCATTTTATAATAAGTCGATATTTAAATTGGACATCACTATTCGTCAATATAAAGTTAATTTTATATGTAATGGCAAAAACTAGTGTTGTGACATGGTTATCGATAGTTCTATCTGATGAAGTAATTAGTGAAGGTTATTATTATAAAAACATTGTACGTAAAAACTTTATTATATGTATAAGATTACTTCAGGTGCCTAGCTCTTTCTGCGTTGAAAAGCTTGGAATAGTTTTTATTTCATGCCTATTACTATGCAAAATTCAGTTAAGTTTTTATACTTATCTGAAATTAAAGAATGTATAGTATGCTCCATTTTTTATAGTTTTTTGTTGTATAATCCTTTCGAGCTTATTATTGTTTTCATAGTTCACATGAAGTATTAAAACTATCGGAACGAATTTCGTGCAACAACTTTCTACTCCGACGTCCTTGCCACCGTGACAATCGCATTCCTTTAACGTGCATTTCCACTGTCAGAGTTCTCGCATTAAAACATACTGCCGTCTCTCTTATTCATCTTACAAATACTGAGACAGTATGAAGTTAACGTACAGTTGTCACAGTTGTAGAAACTTACTGTTAGATGTAATTTGTTTCCCGATATTCCCAGACGTTTTTGTGATTCGATTTCATAACGCACCTTTGTTGATGCCGACTGGAGCGGTTCATCTTGAATTATTAACTTAAATACATTTCTTGGAAGCTTAAGAAGGTGACAGTTATTTTTTTATTGTAATTATTGAATGAAAACAACAAACCAAACCAACTTTGTTGTTGGTGCGTTAAATAGGTTAGTAAGTCCTAACGATGAAACTTCATAAGTTTTGAAGAGTTTTTTTTTTTATTATTTAGCGTGCTAAACATAAAGTAGAGGCGTAAGAAAAGGTGAATGGAGTGGGTGGAAGACAAAACAGTCTAAGTTTCTACATTTCATAAATGTGTACGTATTTATGAAGCTGACTGTACTTAAATCGTCCAAAGGGATAAATTATTTACCCTTTCACTAAAATTCGACGACTTATTCAAGCGTCTGTCACATGACTCAGCGATACGTGCCTCGTTAGGGTTTGTTTTTATTATTGGACAAAAACTCTTCACGTGCACAATGACGGGTCCTTAAAGAGCCTTCCTTTTCTTTTCATGATTGAGATAATCAACCTTTAAATAGACAACTAATTTAAGTGCTGTCCTGTTGACGAGGCTTTTGTGCCTTTTTATCAACAATAAAAAGTTTGACGGATGTTTTATATGGAAGTAAGCGGTGAGTGGATTAGTTCAATGCTATAGGAATTTATTTTCTCCTAACAACCTCTCCTACAATTTTAATAATACAGCTAATCATAAAGCGTATTTGTAATGGACAATTGACGTTATAATTGATAATTGAGATATTATTAAGTGTAGGCGTGCTAAAAATTAATTTAATTCAATGTGTATTTAACAGTCGGCAGTCGCGAGGGCCTCGCAGCGTTTACTCCTACAGAAGCGCGGTGGCGCCCTCTGTTGCCTCCACACATCGCTCAAAAGTCTCCAGAAAGGTAAACTAAATATTTATTTACATAACTTTTTATTACAAGTGTATAGCGACCTCCGACTATCTACTCTCCCTTTTACATCTTGGGAAGGGGTGGGTGGCTGAAAACCACCACTGGATCTCAACCAGTATCCGTTAAGCTGAGCCTCCCCCCTTTTGCCATCGGTTACTAATCTTCATAAATGCTTCTTACTTTGTGTATTTTGAATGGCAATAAAATGGTTTTTATTTTATAATTTTTTTTATTTTTCATTAATTAAAAAATATTTCAGGCGGGTGTAAAAGTAGAGACGATGGCAGCGCCAAACCCTTTCTGTCCGAACGTGAAGGGCATGTGCTGTCTCATGCTGTTGCTCAACCTTGGCCTCATCCTCGTCACCCTCGGCTTTGTTATAGTGCTGCAGTTCTTCGAGCCACTGTTTGTCTGGTTAGTACTATATTTTTAAGAACAACGCCATCTATTGATATTATGTTTACTTTAGTATTACGAAGTAAATATTGCAGCAGTAAATTGTATTTGTTAGTAAAAGTAATATTCAAACACAGGTCGGTTTCTAGTTTCAATTTAATTGTAATAATTTCTTTTGTAATGCCATCAATGCGATGCCAGTATTGCGTGGGAACCGATTATGAGAATGTGAACTGCTCTTAATAACCTTTAACTCAGTAAACCGGGCCACCGGAGTATGGTAAAAAGCTAAACGATTCCGAAAAATTGAGCAATCGCATCAGAACTAGAACGAAACGCGACTTTATCCGGCGTCGCCGCGGAGCGTGAACGATTGTTCTCGGCCGTACATTAAAAATCAATTTGAATTTACAAAAAAATATAACTCACCAACTCTCCAACGGTACACGCAATTTGGATGACAATGTGACATTCATGGAACATCGTTGGTTTCCACAATTCCCGCCATTACGCTTTTTTGGCGGTAATCAATTTTTTATTCATTTTCCCGCCCACTTGACCTATCGTTTATCTTGTTTAAGACCAGAGAAATTCGTTATCTGTTATTCGAAATTGATTAATACCTTTAACCTGTAAATTGAATTTTATAAACAAATGTTCCGTTCCCATTTTAATCTGTAGAAATATTTTTAGCAACCCTTTGCTCCAAGTAATATTTGAGCTTATTATTTAAGAGAATTAAGTAATGCGTCTCCTTACCCCGAAGGAGGTATATTCAGTCTGAGATCTGAACTTTATAAATCATTTAATATTTCCAGGATTCTAGGAATAGTATTCCTGATATTCGGCTTCATCACACTCGTCGGCAGCCTCATATACTGCGTGGTTCTCTGCAGAGAGAACCCTTACCCGAGGTACCCTGACGACTTCTACTGGACTCACCACTGGTCAAAGACAATAGGACCTTCCGAGATACATTACAGCGCCAGCGAAAAGCCCTACAGACAGAACGGACACAGCGACAGATATAATAAATACAACGGGAAATACTCCGATAGAGAAAGTGCTAAAGGTTATTCTGACAGGGAAAGCAAGTTAAGTAGGTATTAACAATGAAACTTAGGTTATACTGAGGTACTGTGCTGCATTTAATAACGTAATGTTGTCACAAATACCATTAATGATTGAACTGAAGAGTTTATAGGTTAGAATTCTACAATGCATATTTGTAAAATCTTCCTTATTGATTTTAACGCCATCTTTCTTTATTTAATTAAAATAGAGAAAAATTGTATTTTTAAGATTAACTGATTGATCCTGTTTTAACACCGATTTAATTATATTTAAAAGTACAATGTAAATATCAAATATTTCAAATAAAAAAATACGTATTGTAAAATATTAATTGTGTGACATGATGGACAAAGCTTTACTAATACTTACATTTTTGTTGTATTTACATAGTAAATAGAATAAAATAATTAAGAATAGTTTACTGCTCTCCACAATTTTAACACAAGTCATAAATTATATATATTTTTAACAAGAGATATATTTTTTTATGTTCATAACAAAATATTTATTTTATTTGTTCTTTCTTAGCGAATGTAAATAATCTTTTATAAATAATATTAGTATAGTTACAATAAAGCGATTGCCATATTAAATTTATTTTTCTTTATTTAATGTGCTAGTAATGTTTAATTATTGTAGGAACTTCAACACATTAATACCGGGAATCATATATTTAAATAACTATGTAAAATAATCAACATAAATTGAAAATATTTTAATAAATAATTTTGTGCATTTGTTTTTAGTATTATTTTCTTACACCTAACCCTACCAGAAGTGTGTTTCTTTGCTTTTTTTAGATGTACCAGCTTACGCCCGCGACTCTTTCGCGTGGGATTTAAAAAAAACAACAAAAGAGAGTAGCCTCTGTGTTCTTTCATATTATCCACTACACCTATGTCAAATTTTATCGAGATCCGTTCAGGTGGATGGATGGATGTCAGTTTGTAGCCTAAACGGCTAAAGGGATCTCGATAAAATTTGGCATAGATGTAGAGGATAGTCTGGAAGAAATAGGCTTGCTTTTGTTTTTTTTATTCCGCGCGAACGGAGTCGCGGGTGAACGCTAGCTATTTTCGTAAGATGAGCAAAAAGTATGTCAGAAGTGGGATTCGAACCCACGCCCTCAGAGAGGACCAGAACGCCCGACCCGCTGAGCGGGCAAGTTGCCTTGAGTCTGGCGCCTTAGACCGCTCGGCCATCCTGACTACACACGTAGTTGCTAAAATACTCTATGATGATTTTTCTCATTAGGCCATTTCCATTTGAAAGAGGAATGTTATTTTTGGCAATATTTTTTTAAAATTATTGCATGTAACGTAACTATATAAACTAATTCCATTGTAACAATTTGAACGAGTATAAAATTTGTAACGGCTTTTCACCTTAGAGTATTTCTCCGAAACTATGGCGTTACTTACAATTTCAACAAAATTAAGGGTCTGTCTTACCATATTGTAAATTGTGTAACACTCCAACGTGTAAAATATGAGATGGAAATATCGGTTTTAGTTACCTTAGCCTCTATCAGCTAGTGGTTGGACAGGCCCCAAAAGATATAAAAATATAAAAGAAAGCAGATTGTTCTTTTTTCATTAAACCCTTTTCCACGAGCAAATAACCGCGTAACAGCCATAAACTGTGATAATATCCTATGAGCAATGTACCTGCGCAGTCGCAAGTGCCGTCCGAGTTTGGCAAAATTTAACGCTTTTAGCTTTCAAACAGTATTATTTTGGTCTATCAAATAGGTACCTAATCTGTAGGTAATAGCCTAAAAATCACTAAGTTTAGTTGAGTACCGAGTAATGTAGTAGCTAATATACCATAGTCCCATCATCTATGTCATCTTTAATAATAACAAACTTCTTTGTTGCCTAAGATGTCAGCATTTACAGCATATTTTTGAATAATTCTTTTCTTAATAAAAAGCCCTACACTTACGTCACGCTAAAGCGTGGCCTAAAGGCAATATATTTTCCCGCTATTAAACTTAGGGGGTAAATGTTTTGGATAAAAGCTTAATGTGGGAAAGAGACCATAAGTTGATGCCAAAATCAAGGAAGCAAGATTGCCAAGGTTTGTCATGTCATGTCATTTTGACATTTGATTGATTGAAAATAAATGTATTATTAAAATTTTCATAATTTCATGCGGATGAAGCCGCACGGGATCAGCTAGTTTACTATAATCTACACGACTATACTCTAGACTACTAACGACTAGTCTATTGCGAACAGGGTGCACAATCTCAGTACATTTAACTTGGAAATCCGAAGATAAAATACTGCAATATAACGGAGCACCTTAAATCTATTTTGATAATAAGAAACAGACTAATTTTGTTTTTAGTAGTATTATATTTGTTATATATGCCAACGCGCAGTAATAGATGGCTGTTTTACCAATACAAAATTACTAGTTCAATTAATATACGATAGATGCCGCTATTTAGTAGCTCTTCTTGTAGTGTTTTTTTTAGTGTATTTGTTGAATGAAACCTTTTTTCAACTCTGATTTACTTCTTTTTAATTGTCACTTGTAATTCGATGTCAGTTCAATAAGTAAAATGTCTATTACATTTATTTATCGTTAAAGTACTCTGTATTATCGTTTAATTGAAAATACTCAACAGTATTTAGGTAGGTGCAGTCCTGGTTGTAAAGAAAGAGGAGGTATGTCTGTTTCTATGTCTACTTACTTCAGAACATTACAGACTTTTATATAACACAGTCTCTATCCAGCAGTAAGACGTCTCTTTTCGTATAATGAGAATTTATAGCTATAGTCCACATCTATGGCCTAGTGCCTCTGTACATTGCCGGACTACTTAAGTATTTGTTTGTAGTGTTTTGTCTTTAACATGTATTTGGTTCTTTCACAACCATATTTATAGCAGTAAAGCAAAAGTAGTAAATTGTTACACTAATCTCTCTTAGACTTATTTTTGTACATTAAAGCATGCTTTTAATGAGTGCAATAATACTAAATAAGATATAACCAGTAAGAAGGTGGGAAAATTTTATTTGGGCCATTAGTCTCAGATTCTAAATGTTATTGCCATGGTATTACAGTTTTAGTCACTAGCCTTATTATTTTTTGTTAAAATAACAGATTATTATTTTAAGGTATGCATCAAGTACTACAAGTTGTACAACTGATGTCACTGATGTTTATGTATGATTTCTCATCTCAATACCTACCGCGTAACACCGTAGGATATATGAAATATGAGATTGTATAAAATGTGATTGTTGATACTTATAATATAATTGTTAACTATGTGAAGAC